AAAAAAAAAAAAAAAAAAAAAAAAAAAAAAAAAAAAAAAAAAAAAAGTAAAATGCTTTGCACTATGTGGTGCAATGCATGCACTATGTGGTACATTGTTCCAATAAAGGATATAAGATATTTATGGTAGACATTTTGTTTCCTTTACCAGATATACGTCAACATTACCGGTAATATAATATACTTCTTTATTAACTTTGATACTTTAAATGAATATTATGTCTGTATTGGGTGAAATGTTGCGTGAGAAATCTCGAGAGATTAGTCTAATTTTTATGAAAAAATATTTTACTTATTGTATTTTTAATTTATTTTTTGGACTTATTGTATTTTAATTTTATTTTTTGTTGTGTGAGAAATCTCGAGAGATTAGTCTAATTTTTATGAAAAAATATTTTACTTATTGTATTTTTAATTTATTTTTTGGACTTATTGTATTTTAAATTTATTTTTTGTTGTGTGAGAAACCTCGAGAAATTGGTTACATTTTGTTTCCTTTACCAGTTACTTATTGTATTTTAAATATTTTACTTATTGTACTTTAAATTTATTTTTTGGACATACATGTATATACATAACAATAACTTCAAAAATTGTCGCATCGGGATGTTTAAGAAAGCATTTTACAGATAGAAACCTCCACTTTGTGGATAAGAGTCAACACATTTCTTTTTAAAAAAAAATCATTTAATTAAAAGGATATAATACAAATAAATAAAAATAAAGTCGAAGAAAGTATATAATAAAAATAAAAAATACATAAAAAATAAAAGATAAAAAATAAATAAAAATTCAGTAACAAGTTTCGGCCATCGGATTGAGCCCTCTTCAGACGTTAAAAACATAATAGAATTAACAGTATTACAAAATAATTATCGCAAATGTTCACACACAAATTAAAGATATACGCAGTTCGGTTGAGTATCGATATAGGAGGGTCTCCTTTTATATTGGCGAGTTAGTGGTGCACAGCTCGCGTGTGCTATTGGTCTAATATAGAATTAGAATTAAGGATATCGGTTGTGAAATG